TTGGAGATATAATTTGAAATGGTAAGTGCTTTACTTTCTTCGCACTAAATATTTGGAGCTTGAATTTGAAATTATGCTTAAAATTTGTTTGATAGTTGTTTTTAGGCTTTAGATGTAATATAAATATGCTAATTTTGTCGGGGTTTTATCTTTATAGGCTTTTATGCAGTTTACTTTTTACTTTAGACTCTGATTTGTGTTTTCAGCACCGGGGATTAGTGCTTCACCATCAGAAGACAGTATGCAAGATTTGCGGTTTTGTGGTTGATCTGTGGGAGGAAGGATTTACAACCGCTCGTAAAGAAGAACATGTATTAGGAATTGTTTTTTGTTTCAAAGCAAAAAAAGTACTGTGGTACAACCAACTTATTGTTTTGTGCAGAACAAAGAAGAACTGACGTCAAGCTTCTCCTTGGGAGTTCTCAGGTATTGTCATCATTGGACATTATCTAAGGAAGTGCATATGTTGTTACTTGGTAATTTGTACTGCTATAAAATGTGATAGAAAATACATCATATGCTCAAAATCAATCCATCAAACACAATGAATTTCGATAAATAACAATACAAAGTTACAAACTAAAAATTGTACAAACTAAAAAATTACATACACTAGGATTTGCTCTCTCTATCGCTGAGAGATTCTCTGTGAGCGATGGCAATGGCGGACAATGGCAGTCGTCTGCAAATGCACAACAGCGAGGAGGAGCTTCTTCTGCTTCAGAGAAGTCAGTTTCGACGACAAGCCCGACCGCCGAAACCTCCTCCGAAACGTTTCGACCCTTCCTGTCTTTAAAAAAGGCCTCTTCACTCGCTGCAGCCCATCCCCTGCCGGAAACAGTATTATTAGGTTTATCTCACACAATTACGGTTTTTTTCCGTTTTCTTGTGAGTTGCACGGTCTGTTTGGTTCACGAGAAAACATAGGAAAATTTATAAAAATTTTGAGCTTCTGTAGAGTTTACTGAAGTGAATACTTGACTAGGTTCAGTTGGGTTGCTGATAAATTCAAAACAATGAAATTTAGACGCGAATGCTTTTAATCGATTTGACGAGAAGTTTTTGAGCTAGTTTATTGCTTTTGAATGTTCAAATTGGATCGTATAAACGTGTCTGTGTGATAGTTAGATGATTTGTTGCTTGCAGCATGGATACACGAGAGAATTCGAGGTCCTCGATATTGCCATCTTCCCGAGATATATGTGATGATGCCTGTCGATGCCTTCTGCAGTGATGGTACGGGGCATCCAAGGATTAGGAAGTAAGTTTTATTATGAGTCTATGACTTTTTGTTGATGAGGCTATGATGCATTTTCATTCTTAATTTAATTGTTACACACTTTTAAATGACGGAGTATGGTTAGCAACAAGGTTGCAGCTAACTATTTTGGTCTCTTCCCAATTCAAGTTTTATAAATGTACGTTTCAAAATGTTTCTAAATTTATTTTTTTAATTTAGTTTCCTTTCAAGTGAGACAGAAACTCCTTATATGTTGCTGGATTCACTGTTGTTTCAGAATCAAGGCCTTAACTGTAGCTCTAAAAGCCCTCAAGTTGGAATGTGTCCACCGAATTGCAGTTGAGGTTTGGTGGGGAATCATAGAGCATTTCTCTCCTCTTGCATATGATTGGTCTCTATATGAAGAGCTTTTCAAACTGATATCTGACACAGGTTAGGTTTGAAGTTGCATGTTGCCTTGTCTTTTCACTCCAATGTTAACTCTTCTAGCAGAAAAGGGGGTGTAACTCTTCCACTTTGGATCATAGAGGTTTGTCTTCTTTGATATATTGAAATCCCATTTGAAGTTATTAGTCTGGTACAATGCACATGGCTGTATTGGAACACTTAATTTAGCCGGTCATACTTAAGAAACATAACCCATTTGGATGACTAGAGATAATATCAATGTTTCTTCAGTTTCGTGCTCTGCAACGTGCTATGGTACTGTGTTCCCTAGTGGCATACTTGATTTTAGCTTTGATATGCTTAAAACGTTTATCAATGCAAAGGGATGTGAAAGAAAAACTATATTTTGGCCGTCATTACACACCTATCAGTTTGAATCTTGAATCTAGATAAAGAAGTTGACCTCTTCTTTTTTTCCTCCCAGATTGGTGATCAGAATAAACATATATATTATTGGGACCAAAATGGATTTTCCAATGATGATTATCTTACAGTGGGAGTTGACCATGTTCCTCTCTTTTGCGGATGGACTGCCCTCCAATGTTATGAAGATTTCATGTCAAGTTTTGCTAAGAAATTTGAATTCTTAATCGGAACTGTAATAGAAGAAATTAGTGTTGGTCTTGGTCCTTCTGGTGAACTTAAGTATGTTATAGTTACACTAGAACTACGAGTAGGAAGCCAGTCCAATGATTTCTTATGCAACATTGTTACATTGCTCACACAGATATCCTGCACATCCTTTTGGTGATGGTAGATGGAAGTTTCCTGTAATTGGTGAATTCCAGTGCTATGACAAGTACATGTATGTTAAAAATCTTTCATTCCTCTGACGGAAATTTGGTTGCTATTGAATTTTTACTATTTACAACCTTGTTCCTTTTAGGATGGGTGACCTAAAGATGGCTGCACGCACGGAAGGAAAACCTCAGCGGGAAGAGAAGGGACCACAAAAGGCTGGCTGTTACAACAGTCTCCCATCTGAAGTTCCTTTCTTTGGAGAGGGAGAGGAAAGCTTTCTTTCTGATTATGGGTGTTTTTTCCTTGTATGAAACTGATGAAAGCGGCTTGCTTAATTATTTCCCATGAAAAATTTCTGCATAGCTAAAGCCTAGTGTAACTTGCATGACATATTGCTTTTATCATTCTGTTCATGCACATTTCATCCTCGAACTACCACTTAAAATAAACTGCAAATGCTGAATTGAAGTTGTGTTTCTTTAGCCATGCAACATTTCTGTGTAGGTGCATGTAAACAAAATGGGCCTGCAATATATATTTTCAATCTTTACTGGAACTTTTCTTATAACTATCTCTATTTGCTTCTAGGGGTTGTACTTGCAGTGTTTGCTACTTAAGTCTTAACTACTCTTACGCAACATGATTAAAAAGTAGATATGTTTTAATGATATAATATGAAGTCATGACAAGGGAATGGGTTTTTAAGAAACTGCACTAAGTTAATACAATTTGATTAAGAATGAAAATGCATTGATGCTTGTCTTCTAGAGAGAGAAAAAAAAATCATCATAGGATGTACTGGTTAGTAACCTAAGGACAATTATGGAGTATGAGTGGAAAATTGAATTATATTATGGTTCTTTGTCATGCAATACTTGGCATAACATGATTAAACTTATTGGAAAACACTGTGGAGCTTTGGAAATCTGACAGTGGCTTGACTCGTTGTAGGAATGGTACAGTGGTAGGTTGCTCCATCATGCAGATGATATTCTTGCAAAGCAGCTAACATACTGAAGAAATATCAAGAAAACAAGCAAACCTCAATTATATTGGCGGCTAAAATTGGTGGAATATATTGGTGGTATCAGGTGATAGCACACCCTGCTGAACTTACAGCAGGATACTACAACACTGCTGTTAGAGATGGTTACGATCCTATTGCTTCACTTTTGTCTCATCATGGAGCTGCTTTGCATGTTCATTAAGATTCTAAGTTTTAAGGTTCTGACTGGAATTTTGTTCATTGTCCAACTTGATAATTAGGGTTTCTTAGACATCCGCTTGATTTCAAATTTATCTTTTCTACCAAGTTCACATAATAAATATCTTATTGCAGCTGCTGAGAAATGATGGATGGTGATAACCTAGCATCCTGTCTTTGTAGCCCAGAAGGATTACTCCAACAGGTACGAGGCCTGTTGATAAATAATGCTTCCTTAGGTTGTTGCTTTGTTGGCACTTATTTTGGACTTACTTTAGATATTTTTTGTAAATTCAAGCTTTTAAGTTAGGTAGGACTAGCCTATGTAGCTGTGCTTGGCACAGCAGGTATTGCAGGGTATCTGTGTTCAACATGGGCTTGGAACGGGCCAATATGAGCTTTTTTAGTATTACAGATATTGAGTATTATTGATCAATTTTTTAGGTTTCTTTTAGTATTTTATAATTCATTGTGAGATAATAAACAAGAAACATATGACGAGTTCATCAATAATCATTTTCTGTTTTATTGAAATTTGGAATACGATTTTGATATTAATAGAAAACAAATATAGAATTGCATCACTATACCGTATATCTGTATCGTACTGCTTTGGATTGGCAGGGTCTGTCCATTTACACTGCTGGGTGGTGGTAGTGGTGGCTTGCTGATGGCTTTCTTCTATAAAATGTCTGGCCTTATGCTTTGTTTATTGTATATTTAAAAATTATACAATTCCAATGTAATCTAACATGATTCGATTTGCACCAGATATGGAGTGTTTCAAAGAAAATGGTACATTTGATCGGGAGAAATACCGATGAACGATTTGTCAGGGTAAATTCATCCTTTGCTCAATAACAAAGCAAATTTCAGGTACCATTTATTTCTGTTTCACATATATTGGACATTGCAAATGTCATATAACTAGAAACACATGGCTTCGATAGTGTTTAATAGTTACCACTTTTTCTTTTGCCCATTATGTCATGCGTATTCACGTGTTTGCTTTTCTCCTGTAGTTTGGTTTATGGAAAATACATGCTAACTGTTACCATTCCCAGGCCGAAGCAGTAAGATCATTTACGTATTTCAAAATGAATGATAAGATCTTTAGGGCTGAAAATTGGAGTAACTTCGTTGTCCAACTTACCAATAAGTTTATTGAACTACCTAGAGGAGCAGCCTCGCTGCCCTATAATTTTTTGTCAAGGGCATGTGTAGAAGTTTGTAACTTCTTGATATTTTGACTGAAATAACCTTGTGTTCCCATGACAGGCATTCTTGAGCTGGAAGTGTAAATTTTTTGAAATGGATTTTGTTGGCTGTAGAAACTGAATGCTTTACTACCAAATATGGGAAGAATAATTTGAATTGCAATTTTGGTACTATTGGCCTCATTGCATTGACAAATCCAGCTACGACATTTTAATTTGAGGAATATCGTCATATTCTCAAATCCGTCACTATGAGAAGATAATGTAGTCTTTGCAGATTCAAAACAACAATAAGAAAATGGATCCCAAAATATAGAGAACAAAAAGAACTAATTCATTCCTCCACAGTCCTTCAAATACTTGGTCTTGATTTTGGTGAGTGTGATTGCGGCATCTTTCATGTTAATCCTCTCTCCTGGCAATGCTGCTGAGCAAGCTAAAGCTAATCTCATAACGGATAATAAGCAATCCCTTCTGCTCACGAAGTCACCATCTTCCTCCACCCCGAGTATATCGGCATCCACAACTTCACCTATTGCAGCATCTGGAAATAATGAATCCGCAATCCATTGCTTTAAATCCAATTCCCCAACAAACATCTTGTCTGTTGGCTTCCTTTTTGTGAATGTCTCCATGAGTACAATACCAAAACTATACACATCCCCTCTTGTTGAAACGCTTCCTTCCATCCCATACTCTGCAAAATTTGTATGTGAATTTAGTTATACATGATAAAAAGAAAATTATAACTCCTAATAAGGCCAACATATACAAAATTGAGGAAATACATCACCTGGAGCCATATATCCAACTGTGGCTAGGGTCATGGTTTCTGTCATCGAATCTCCACTGCCGATGAGTCTTGCAATGCCAAAATCAGCAACATGTGCAACCATATCATCATCTAGTAGTATATTGCTTGGTTTCACATCACAATGAACGATAGGTATCGAGTAACCATGATGAAGATATTCTAGTGCCAATGCAACATCTTTCATTATGTCTAACCTCTGCAGGATAGTCATGGAGCGGGTTGGAGAATACAACCAGTTGTCGAGGCTTCCATTAGGCATCAATTGAAGTATCAGGGCTTTGAAATCAAGTTCATCGCAACAACTTATGATTTTAATAAGATTCCGGTGACGGATATTGCTTAGTATTTCACATTCCTTATCAAAACTCTTGAATGCCCCTTCTAGCTGTAAATTGAAGACCTTGACGGCGATATCTATCCCATCTGAAAGTGTTCCTTTGTATACTGAGCCAAAACCCCCCGTGCCTAGTAAGTTACTCTCATGAAATCCATTTGTTGCCTTTACAAGTTCTAGGTGCGAAACTCTTCTCCAAAGAACTTGATGTAGCGAGGCAGTTTCTCGTACAACTTCGACATTCCTTTTCTTGCGTAGTATCAGAATCAATGCAGCGGCCACTAGGAGTATTACTGATATGACCCCTGAGATGATATATTTAGCTTTCCTCCAATTTGGCTTAACTTTTGTTCTATTTTTGCACAGTGGAACATGGAATCGGGGAGCACCGCAGAGTGCATCGTTTGATACAAATGAATCAGCAAAGAAGTTTCCGAAAGGCCCACCGGTTGGAATTTCTCCTTGGAGTTTGTTGAAAGACAAATTCAGATGCTTGAGAGACAAGAGTGCTTCCAATGACTTTGGGATCACTCCGGATAGATTGTTTTTGGACAAATCCAAGAATTCTAGGCTTAGCAAGGTTTTAAATGAACTGGGAATATGGCCTTCTAAATAATTGTTTGCCAAGGACAAATTAATCATATTTAGAAGACCCCCAATGCTATCGGGAATGTTTCCGGAGAAATGGTTATTTGATAAATCAATCTCCACCACATCTTCCAACTTTCCGATGTCTTCTGAGAGTGGTCCAACTAGAGAATTGGATGACAAGTTTAGGAACAATATATGCTTGAGTTCCCACAAGGAAGATGGTATTTTTGAAGTTAACAAATTGGAGTCTAACGATAAATCTCTTAGAGCTCCTGCCAAAGTACCCAAGCAGGAAGGAATAGAACCAGAGAGACGATTACCAGCCAAAAGTAACTCGACTAGGTTGTTTAGTTGACAGAGTTCATACGGAACATGTCCTTGCAGTTCGTTATCATTCAAATACAAAGCTTGGAGATTTTGTAGCCTTTGTATTGAAGTTGGAATTGCTCCGCTCAACTGATTGTTTCCCAAGTTTATCTCTATCAAGCTGCTAAAGTTGGCAATATCAACTGGAATGTTTCCCCTGATGTTGGAACGCATTAAATCAAAATATAGGAGTGACGTAGAGAGATTCCTGCGAGAAGCTGGAATCGTGGTGTTTAGTGGATTGTCTCCCAAGTCGAAGTCTTTCAAATTTCTAAGATTAAACAAGCAAGAGAGAGTGCTTGCTGCTTGTGGAGTAGAAGCATCAATCGTCAAATGATTCAAGTACAAGTAAAGACGCTCGAGGTTTTTCAAGGAACAGAGCGTGCTAGGAAGAAACCCGGTAAATGAGTTTGTGTTCATGTCTAGCACCCTGAGCTTGGAAGCATTGGAGAGGTTAGGGAGTAGTTCGGACACGAGGTTATTTTTGGCTACATCAAGGATTTCTAGGTTTGGAACGTTAAGACCTATGTTTGCTGGGAGGCTACCTGAGAGCTGATTAAAAGAAAGCCCTATTTGTCTTATCATGGAGTTATTGAAGAGTTTGGATGGGATGACGCCATTGAGATTATTACTAAACAGGTCTAATCTCTCTAACTGTGGAAGATCACAAATCTCATCCGGTATTGTACCTGTCACAATTTTAGCACATTTGCATTAAATTTGAAACTTCAGTTTAACTAAAAACTAAAAACAATAAACGAAATGATTATCAAACGGTCCTAAATTTATTACCTGTTAAATTATTGTCAAAAAGAATAATGTCGGTTAAGTAGGTGAAATTGCCAAGACTTTTGGGTATGCTTCCACGGAAATCATTAACCGCTAATACCAATTGACGAAGCTCTTTGCATTGCCACAGTTTGAAGGGAATCAGACCATCAAGCTGGTTTTGAGCCAAATTCAATCGTCGAATACTCGAAAGATGCTCACATATATTGTCCGGAAGACTGCCACTCATGTTGTTTCCGGATAGAGTCAAAGTAGTCAAAGAAGATATGTTGAGGACAGGCACAAAAGCCGAGCCTTTTAGGGCATTGTTTTGCACAAACAACTCCTCCAGCTGACCTAAACTGCCTATCTCGTTTGGAAGTTCTATAAAATCAATCCGTATATATTAAAATCATGTAGACATATAGGAGCAGCTTATTAGTAGAAATCTTGTTGTACTGTAGCAAAAGAGGGATAACATTATAAGGATCATGTACTCACTATATAGGACCCCTTTTTTGCTTCCGAATACAAGGGTCTTACACAGTAAATATACGATCCTACGATAGTCCTCTCGTCTCATTTTTGCTAAAGTGGAACGAGATCCCTGCTAAGAAGGGTCTTGTATGTATAGATGTAACAAAACCTAAGTCATGTAGTATACCTTCGAACTTGTTGTAGTCAAGGTATATGCTCTTCACCATTGTTAAGTTGCCTATTTCTCTGGGTATGCTACCTGTTAAATATGTGCACGCATGGCAACAAAAATGAAGGAAAAAAGATCCAAAAGAGATGATTGTTATACATCTTATATATAGATGTTAAAATGTAACAAAGATGTTAAAATGTAATGATGAAGTAAGCAATATTAATTTATATTCCTACGTGTTTGGTAATGGTGTTGTACGTACGCACCTGATAGTTGGTTCCTTTTCAGATTAATTGTTTCGAGTGCAGATAAGTTGAAGATAGCAGCCGGTATGAAACCCGAGAAGCCATTACCGTACAATTTGATGGCTTGAAGTTTAGCAAAGGACCCAAACCACGAAGGAATGGTTCCCATAAAGTTGTTGTTTCCAAAGTTAATCGCCTTCAACCGGCGCAAATGAGACAATTCTTGCGGTAGGGGACCATGAAAACTATTATTCTGAAGGCCCAACGCAACGAGAAATGAGAGGTTGCCAAGATGCGGAGGAATAACTCCGGCAAGACCCATGTACGAGAGATTTAAGGCCGTGACTCTGTGGTGGCGAGCACTGCAGGTAACACCAACCCAGTTGCAAATGTTGGAATTGGAGGCAGACGACCAGTTGGCGGTCAAGATGTTTTGAGGGTCACTAGTGATGTAAGCTTTGAGAGCAAGAAGCGCAGACTGATCTGTGCTGAAATTGGTATGAGCTATTGCTAATGCACCTGCAGTTAAGTAATTAGCCATAATCATCATATAGATATAACACAAGCAGTGTATCATCGAAAACATTCTCAGCAGTAGGAAACGACTTCTCTCCTTAATTGTAGTAGTTTTTGTCTTTCGGTTTAAATCCGACCGAAAACTAGAACTCATTACTTTCACATAAATAGGGAAACAAACCAAGACTTGCCCGGCTTCTATGTCAGGGTGAGGAGACTTAGACTAGTCGAACGATGACGTGTGATTCGGATTTTTTTTACATATCAAACACACACCATTCATTTTTCGCTGATAGCTTAGCTAGGTGAGGAGGTATAGTCTAAGTCCAACTTTGTTGTCGAAGTGAGGAGACTTAGAGTAGTGGAACGAAGGCTTGTGATTTGGATTTTTTACATATCAAACACACACCATTCATTTTTTGCTGATAGCTTGAAGGTGACGTTCGCCGTAACTAACACCATTCATTTTTTGCTAATAGCTTGATGGTGATATTTGGTAATTGGTGCTGCTAGCCGACGAGTTCTGTCCATTTTGTGGGCACAGCTGGAGATGCCCAAATGTGGAATTTTAGTCTTCAGTTCACCATCAAAACAAACAACACCATAAATTTCAAGATTGATATTTAATGATGACATACATTTTGATTCAAATGCAAATGCAAATGCAAATGCGACCAAACACATAACAGTTGCATTCTTCCGGATGAAATGTTTTTGACGACGTTTACATATAATCAAGCTCTAGTTGAACACTCTTCAGATTCGAAAATCATCTAAACTTGGCTAATCAGTTTTTCTGAACAGAACAAAGCAAAGATGATATGCAAACGGTCCAAGAGTTACGGTCTTATGCTTCTCAATTATTAATCACGATCGCATGTACAAATTCATTGCAGCAATACAAAGAAGGGAAGTAACAACCAGAAGTTGAAAACTAGTACAGATATGTACATACACTATCATGCAGACTTGCCATTGGTGACGCTCTGAATATGCAAAGGCTTCTTATATGACAGCAACAAGAGAGAACATACCACGATTAGAGATGAAGCAGGAATGCACCTGCAAGCCACGGTGGTAAACGAATTCCAGTGAAAGGGAACAAAACTCCAGCCGCCACCGGCATGCTGAGGATATTGTAGCCCAGGGCCTAGACATAATTCAATCGAATTCGAGAAATGGTCTTTCTAGAGAGATCAATGGCAGTAACTACATCTTCCAAGTTGCTCTTCATCAGAACTATAAGCAGCTTCCATAGCCACGTCGGTGCCAGCACCAATGGCCATGCCAACATCTCCTGCAACCATAGCTGGAGAGTCATTAATTCCATCTCCCATCATTGCCACCGCCATTCCTTTCATCTGCATCCAAATCCACTTTAACAAGTCAGAAAACACTATGTAAGATAGATGACTCACATATCAAGTCAGAAACAAACTTAATATAGAAAAATGAGTTTGAAGATTTCTATAAGACATTATTTTACCCTAGATAAGTCATTTGAAATATAATCAATCTGCGTTCAAAACCAGAACCACGATGCTTGTAATGTTTATCGAGTGAAGATAAGAGATGACCTGTGCAGCCTTTGGCTACACTGGATCAGTTACAGCAAAAGACCCAGCGATCTTTCCATCAATGGAAACCAACACACATGTTCGAGCCAGATTATCAGGTTCTGAAACATGCTAGTCAACCTCAGGACCAACCTGGACATTATTTTCCCACATGAACCTCACCAATCACCATTTACCTACATATTTCTCAAATAGAGACATGTTAGCATGATTGACAAAATAATTTTACAATAGCATAACAACAATGAGTTGTCAACTCCTCCATTGAGTAAAGAGCACAGCATTGACTACTACGGGTTTCCCAACTGTCAGAGTCCCTGTTTCATCAAAAACAACTGTTTTCACTGGCAGGGATCAAACACGTCCATAAACGTCCAGACACCAACGAAGTGTCAAATACTAAGAAACGTATCAACCTTCATGAATTAGGTACCATCTGTTCAGCTTTTAATTTAGGAAAGAACAAAAACCCCGAAAAGGAAGAAACAATTATTAGACATGGACAAGGAGTTCGGGTAAAGAGAACTCTCCTTCAATGAGAGCTGTCATCGACAAGAAATGGGGATTTAAAACTTGGCGAGTACGGCTTGGTGACATGGACAAGGTGCATACAGCCATCAATTGTCCAGAACCAAAGGGTCATACGAGACAGATTCCAACTATGAAATAATAGTTGCATGTTCATTCCCAATATATGCAGGAAGAACATCCTCCATACCCAATGACATAGATTGCATTTAGTTTTATGTTAAGAACCTAAACGTTGATTGAACCGAGGCAGAGCGTTTTACTGGTCAGGAATGAAGTGCATAACTTGTTATCATACGGAACACTAACATAATGTATGGTGGTAGCATAGGGGATAGTATGAAATAACCAGAACAATATGAGGAGAGCAACTTCATAATGGAGGACGAGAAAAAAAACTACACTTGCACCCTCAAGACATATAGAGAATGTATCTAATCAGAAATTGTTTTTTCCTAAACCACAACAAACAGGTTTTCAACGTCCTTGGAAGGAAAAGTAGGAACAAGTATAATGAAGCAACTAAACACAACAGCAAAAACAACATGAAAATAAAATGCATGAAAACCAGATCTTAAATTAAAAAAGAAATTTGTTTCCAAGGATAAGGTGGTCTTACCTTATAAGCCTTTTCGAGTACACTAGCAAAAATGCCCGTGTTCCGTTGCGGGGACTTCTAGAAGTATGATCTTGTACCATCTGATTTCTTTTGCTATTCCTAGTTCTTTTTGGCATAATGTGCAAAACCAAATTGATAGCTAGGAAGAAAAAATGAAAACACCTGCATAAATTAAATTTTCCATCACTCCTATAGTATAATTAAATAAATCAAAGCACAATAATCATCTCACAATTACAGAAGCAAGGACTTTCAAATGCCCCAATTATTTAACAACTACTATGCATAATTCTTAAAAAATGAGTATAAAATTAACCTCTTTTGAAAAATGAAGGAAGAAAGATGAAAGCTTAAGCCAAGGAATATAACTATATTGAACTCAATTATTTGACATTAATTACACAAACCCAATTCCATATATATAGCCAGACAGAGGCTTTATCCTAGAGAGAAACCATGCCCAAAAGATTATATAATCTCCAGACTGAGTGTGAATTCAGAGCATGAAAGGGAAGTGAGTTCCTTGGTTCCCACATCGTAGAGACTAAATCTCAAAACTTTGCCAAGCATTACAGGAAACCATGGAAAGAATAAAAATGACCACAAAGATTGCAAAACAATTAACCACAGGTGGTGTTTATATGCCCACTGAGAGAAAAAAGCTTCTGCAAGTGAAAAAACAGGCATGTACCATCTGAAAGAGCCTCTTGTATCCATTCCAATTATACTTATGTCTACCATATCCCTCTACAATTCCCCACCACCAATCAACAATAACTGATTTCAATACCCTTAGCTGCTTTAGTAGACCATCTAGTGACACCTAATTGCCACCAAAATAGAAGACATGATCAAGACCATACAGATTACAGACTAGCTTAAAAACAACTGTTATCTATTAAGCAAAACTTGAACTCCTTGATGTGGCAACCTCTTAATCCAGGATGTAGAGTAGAAAAGCAAAATTATTGACAAACCGAAAAATAAGAATTTAACTTGCATAGTAAACGAATATTAGTAAAGTTACAGAACTCAATGGATTACATATACCAGTAAAAAAGCGAAACATCAGTGTTTGGGAAGTTACCTTATTTGAAATGTCAGGAGCATCTGGTGTACATACAGGGTAGACAGTTCTTGAAAAAAATCAGGGCTTCAAAATAAAATAAAAAATAAATTCAAAAGAAATCAAAACTATTAATCCTAACAACTGTTTAGTAAAGGATAAAACAAACTTTCCATCAAACAAACTTGAGAAACAAAAAGAGGGAAATAAATTTAAGTTGAATAGAGGTGTTGCCTACCCAGAAATCCAAACGAAATCCCCAAAAATTCACGCCCCCAAAACCATACAAAGCACCAGAGTTGAAAACCAGCGCTACACTGGGATCATCCACACAGTAACGAACTCTGATCATTGTCACTGATCTCCATCGCCTTCCAAAGCCAAAACCCTTTTAAGAAAAAGAGGGTAATGAATATGATAAAGCCAGTAATGAATGGAATAACCCAATTTCTACCGCCAATCACCCTTGCTGAGTGATGATTCGCATACTTCCTCGTATTTGTTTATGGGTTCCTATCCAACAAAATTTCGACTTAGCACCCAAAAACTGTATCAGCTCACGAACACAGAGAGGTTTTACATAGCCCGTTTTAAAATTTTAGGATAATTTACAAGTTTGCCATAGAATTGGGTTTGTTCACTCGGCCCAAATTCTTGGGCTTTGTTAAGCTTCACTACTAAAAGCAGTGTCGGACAGCTTCACTAGCCACTGCTAGTGTTGGTGTGAGATGTTATAGAGTTTCTTCTCCGGCATAACTCGGAGTCGTACAACTTCATCTTCGGGTGATGAGGCCTACCATGTTTCTTCACTGGCGTAACCCAGTAACGTACAACTTCACCTTTGGATGATGGACAAGTATTGCCTTCGGGCGACCATGATACCTGTAAAGAGTATAATTTTATTGAGAGGTATGGATTTGCCTTTGGGCAGAGGTTTTACAGATTTGCCTTCGGGTGGTTTTACTACCATCTTCGAATATCATTTTACACATATATGTTTTCCTAATGAATGCACAACATGCTAGGGTTTTTAGGAAATCTACTATGTAGTATTATATATGTTTTCAAAACAAGGGGTTATTATGTTCACATTAAAATGGTTTTTGGTATTACTAGTATTAATATAGATTATGGTCCACTCACCTTTTCTGTTTTGTGCCCCCTTAGGATTTAGATTCGAGGCACAGGATCCCGGCATTAGGACACTTTGGCGTAGTTATTCTCGAGTCTTCTCAGTATATGTATCATTTTTGGGTTGGCACAATTTCCTAGTAATTTTCCCACATTATTCTTAATAGATGTACGCTCTGAATACGTTTCTGCTTTGGTATAATTGTTCTAATTGCATATTTGTTTTAATTGTATGCATGTTTAAAATGACTTCGTCACCCTCGAGTGTCAGCCAACATATGCCTACCCTGATATTTAGGGATATCGGGGTTGGGGCGTGTCAGGTTTATCAAATTCAAAGCAAAACCTTCTAGAGTTAAAAGAGGAGCAAGGAGGGAGGCAGATTGTCTGCCCTCTTAGTTGTGGTGCCCTTTCATGCCCTCCTATTTGTGCGATCACGATTAAGCCACATCAACATTTTATATTAATTTTTTAATAGAGATAATAAGACACAAAGTAATAAAAATATAAAATATTAACGTGGCTTAACCGTGACCGTACAAAATAAGAGGGCATGGAAGGGCACCACAACTAGGAGGGTAGACAATCTGCCTCCGAGCAAGGAGGTTCGGTTACTGAACCCAAAACACTATTTTAATGAGCAAATGGATATCTAAACTGGGGTTAAAATTTTTCAACAATAAAAAACATGTCTTTTGATTGAAGTTGCATAAATTACAGAACTTTGGGATTAGGGACGAACAAAATGCCCAAATTCCAATCAAGAAAAATAAAAAAAATTGTATGTAAATTTAAGCTTTACCTGTAGATCGGCAGCAGCAAAAGCATACTGGATCCAACGGGAGCCACGTATGAGAACTGGATGCCCAGCCTTTGACACGTTATCAAGTGAGTTTAAGGATCTGGGTTTTGTGTTTGCCGTTGAATTTTGGAATGATCTGGAGAAATTTGGGTTTTAGGGTTCCAAGGATTTGAGTTAACCGAAATTGATTTGGATGAGCAACTTTTAGTTTCAATTCGTGGTGGAGCAAGGATGAAGAGGTGGAGGAGGAAGGAATGAAAAACTTAACTTCTAAAGTTTCAAGTGCTCAACAAATTTCGAACAATGTATGTTTCAATGCTTAAAAAAAAAAAAAAAAGGACATGCATCAAAGACTTTTAGGTAGAAAAAATGTGCATTGGCTGAAATGGAGATAATTAGGATTTAAAATGTTAAAAATTTTCTTTTTGGCTCACTAATTAGATGAAAAAGTGAGATTGTATGAACAATTTTACACCCAGAAACATAAACTACACAGAATCACAACTGATCTAACAATGAGAAAGTATATAAGACAATACACTATCAATAGGCTAAAACACTCTTTTAATTGATCTAACAATAGCCTAATAGGATTAACTAAACCATTAGAGACTGCAACAATGAGAAAGTCTGAAGATTAAAATTCTAGTTGAATATCTTTGAACCCCTAGGTGTTGGAAACATTTTTAGTAAATTTGTTCAAGAAAATATAGAAACTCATGATGCAATTCCATTGTCTGGGATAGCACGTATTTACCTACAATCCAACCTCAAGCTAACATTTTTCATAAGTTTATTCTTTTTGTTAACTACACTGGAATTTATAAAACAATTTTAGAAAAACTCGAGTCTAGATAATGGACTTTTGTTCCAGTTTAAAAATTTTTGACTTGTGTTCTAAGCAACATAATGTATTCACATTTCAATTGTCAAAGGCATCGCAATAATCCCCGACTGAAGATATTAAAAATCAGTACTTCTTCTCCAAGTTTTCATTCAGTTTATTTCACTTGTCCATCGGAATTTTATTCAAAGAAGATTAAATAAAGAGCATGCCAAAGATTAAAACCCTTCATTTCAAACTTTGCTAATGCACAGCTCTGTTTGGTTTTCTTCCCCATAGACTAGACTGAGAGAGGAGTCAAGTTCTCCAGTGCACCATCAATCTCCCGTTCGAGCAGCCATCACCACCTCACTCACCACTCCGGCGAGGCACCACCTTGCCACCACCCTCATGTCTCACTCCCTCTCTACCACTCTCCCTATTTCCCTCACCTCTTTCTCTCGATACTGTGCTCGCTGCACAGAAACAGCAAGGCGACCACCGTAGCCATTTTTCACGGCGAACTACACTGTCACGAAACCATCACCATTAATCTCGCCACCTAGGCGAGTTTTACCATACTCGAACCCACCCTCTGCAAAATGCCTTCATACCTTCTAATTTCAATTCTTGCATTTCTTGTATGGTATCCATGTCTTGCACATTCAAGTACTTATATACCAACTGAGAATAACAATATAAATCCCACACCCACCTCTTTTTCCCCACTTGAAAAAATCACCTAAAAACCACATTAACCACCATAGTGTAAGACTCCAGACATGGCTCCAAATTTCAATCTAATTAATTAAATTACAGAGGATTCTACCTACCTCATGAAAACAAATATGTTCAGTTAAAGAAATTCCCTAATCACTGCAGTGCATCTTAAACTACTATGTCAGCCATACCAATCTAATAAAAAATCCATGTTTCAATCGATTCTTATTAATTCCAACTCCAAGTATTTCAGCATCTAGATTATAGAAAAATCGTAAAAAAACAAAACTCAATCTTGGTGCTAAAGCACACTTCGTTAACCTCACCTTCCTCAAGTCCATGATTCCTGCCATGAGATCTTTCTCTTAATCCAGACTCGGCTTCAGATGCAAGATCAAAATAACGAAGCATTCAGTTCCATTTCTACGCACAGCAAATTGAAAATTGAAATATGTTATAATTTACTCGGAATCTTCATTTGTATTATGAAAGCATATAAACAGATACATTTGAAAACTTATAAAGCTACCTAATTAAGTTGAAAAGTTGCTAATTAAGATCAGGTGCCAGTGCATCCAGTGAGCCTTCCAAGGAAAGATGGCCCCGTGGACTTAGACCTTGAAAACTGAGGCTTGTTTTGCCTTGTAATTGTATGTTCAGTAGCATTCTTATGGATTGGAATTGTATGATCAGTAGTATCCTTATGGATTCCCAGATGAATTTTCAAAATTTTGTTCTCATCCGTTAGCTTATGCACATGGGACAAAAGCCACTCAATTGTTTCACACTTCTCCTTGTTTCTCCTTATCAACTCAGCTCACGCTGCATATTTCGTCAATGAGTTCCGAGATCTTTTCATGCAACATTTTATCTTTTTCAACCACATTACCATCAGATTCTACACCATGATCAATACTCTCTTTTTCCATATATTCTTCAAAAGTACACAAACCAACCTTTTTTAGGACAGACCAGCATTTGTTTGTTTTTATGGCTCTGAATTTTGTTTCCGTTTTCTCTTTTGTTGTGGTCTGATCAAAATGCACTCCAAAAACTAATTTGAGTGCTTACACAGATGTACGTCGCATAAAAATCAAAAAATCAAAAATCAAAAATCAAAAACAGCAGCAGAGATAAAAAAAAAAAATTACAATAATTCTAAAAAAATTTAAATCAAAAGCTTAAGACTAAGGTATGGTTTGGGGTTGAGGTGATTTTAAAAAATGGGATGAAAAAAGCTGGGAGAGTCTTTGGTGTTTGGTAAACTTCCAGCTTTAGCTTTTTTTCACAGTTTTGGGTGAAAAAAAGCCAAAAAACAGAAGCAGCAAAAGGCAGCTTTGAAAAACTGGCTTTTCAGCTTCTGCGCAAACCTCAAAACACGTATGAACAGTAACCCCTTAATGAAAGTTTCTAGCAATCCTACCCTTATATCCAAATTATTGATTCGAACAGAACGACATAAACATAAATCACCACAAAATGTCATCTCTGAAATCCAAAAAAGTCATGAACATCACAAAAAGTACAGATTTTCAAACCACCTACTCAGAAGCATTTCATCTCAAATTTTCCACCTATCAGTTAGATGAACCCAAGAGCCATGCAAACACAGCAAGCACAAAAATCCCAGAAAAAAAAAATAATACCCACAAACAGATGCACTGCAATCGCATCCAAACATCAAAAGAAAAAGGAAATTTACGGGCATACTAAAATGGCAATATACAAGAACGTGTGAAACTTTATTGAACAAACACGTACCCTCCCTTCATCTCTATCATCCCCTTTTTGCTCCTCCCAGCTTCATCTCTACCAAAGATCTTTAAAGATTTGTGTCGCCCCCAGCTTTATCGTCGAGCTCGTTGTCGAAAGGCATCACTTCTCCTCTACTCAGATCCTCGGCTTCCTCAACTCCCAATCTCGCTCTTCGCTCGACCATTGCCTTCATCCGCTACGACATCGTCGACAAACTCCACAATGCTAGCCAAAACCCAGAAGACAAAAAATACCGATCTGCCGAGACCCATATGAAATTCAGCTTGTGAAAAATCCAAAAAACAAAAAACCCATATGACAAATCTAGAAGTTTTTTTTAGAATGAATGAGAAAAAATGGAATTTTATGATGAGGGAGAAAGTGGCGAAAAGAATGGAATTTGGTGATGAGAGAAAAAGTGACGAGGGAGAGACAGAGAGGTACTTGGACGGGAAGGATAAAAAAATGAAGATGATTCTAGAGACAGTGTTCTAGAAAAGTAAAAGAAAAGAGAAAAGGGAAAAATTCTAAAAGATAGAATTAAGCTCGGTTATGGGGGAACGGAGAAAAAGAAATATGATAGATAAGTTTGGTTTTGATCATTTCACACGATCACAGTTGTTTTACATAAAAGTTTACCAAACGCTATCATGCTGTTTTTGTTTTTTCAAAAGCACTTTTAAAAAAAAGTTTACCAAACACTCTGCCACTTTATTTCACAGTCGCTTATTCTCACAACACAGCAGAGGCAGTTTTTTTTCAAAGCACAGCAATACCAAACCAAATCTAACTCACAGGAAGCTCTGCGAGTTAATTTTTTGGAAAAAAAAAAATTCTATTAATGCATTCTCATACAAAAAAATTCTTTAAATACCGATTTCATGCAATCCAAGAGCTAAGTGCTTAAATCAGAAAAAAAAAAAAATTTACCAGATACTCTTATATAGCAGTGCAGCTAAGTTTTTCTTGAACCCTGACGAATATCATTGTAAAATTATCCCAAATATATCTCAGAGACTGTAGAAGCCTAAGCCAGACCCATTGTGTGACAATCATCTCAAAGACGAAAGGAAGATGATATTGCAGAGAGAAAAGACGGAAGGAAGATAAAAAGGAGTGAGGGGAGGCCGGCGTGGTGGAGAAAATATGAGGAAGAGGAGGATTTCAATTTGAGCCCTTGAAGTCATGAAATTTCTGTGGTTAAAATAAGGAAATTAGAAGAATTTTTTTGGCCTTTTTCATAGTAGTGAGGGTTGGCGGTCAAGGCATGCAGTGTGTGTGTAAGAATAATTATGACGGATCATTTTATGTATTTTCATCTTTACCAGTATTACCGCGATCCTTTATGACAAAACTCTAAACCAAAGAAGGGCGATGAAAGAAGAACTATCGATGGAAGGAAATTTTAATGTGTTGACCACACATTGCCCTTTTATGAACAAGGCGAATAAATTGTTTTGAAAGAATTTTAACTGGCACTACCTAATTACCAATGAAGCGTATAGGCTGAATAATCACAATTGTGCTCTTGCAAAAGTACTTGAAGAGTATGTTGCTTTGATGATTATTAAGAGTTATGTTCTTGAATTAGCCTTTTACTTGGTAGGATCTCGTTCGATGGGTACAAAACTGAGGTTCTATTTTTTTTTTTTTTTATGCTTGAGGGAACAAACTTAAACGAACTGTAGAATTTATATATTTATTATATTTATATAAAACACAATATTAATCCACCCAATATAGGGTGTATTATATTAATATGTGTTATTCTCTTTTTTTTTTTTTTTTTTTTTAACATTGGCCGTTTTATTTTCTCCTTCCTTCCTAGCCACTATATATATAAAGATGGCTTTGGGGAAGGGAGAGCACACACTATTAAGAGGAAAATATTGATACTCTTATAGTAATCATTTTCTCTCTTTGTTTAGCCTCTAGGGTATCACCTTGACTCTAGGATTAGGAGGCTATTAAGAACTATGGCGGTTTGATCTTTGTACATTGGCACAAGGTGTGACATCCCACATTACCCAGGGGAGTGATCCTTAAATGTATATTCCCATCGCTACTTAGCACAAGGCCTTTTGGGAGCTCATTGGCTTCGGGTTCCGTAGGAACTTCGAAGTTAAGCGAGAAGGGGGTTAGAGCAATCCCATGATGGGTGACCCACTGGGAAGTTGCTCGTGAGTTCCCAAAAACAAAACCGTGCTACGGTGGTGGAGCGGGCCCGGGAAGTGGTCCCGCCCCGGGCCGGGATGTGACAATTTGGTATCAGAGCCTAACCCTGGCCGTGGTGTGCCGACGAGGACGTCGGGCCCCTAAGGGGGGTGGATTGTGACATCCCACATTACCCAGGGGAGTGATCCTTAAATGTATATTCCCATCGCTACTTAGCACGAGGCCTTTTGGGAGCTCATTGGCTTCGGGTTCCGTAGGAACTTCGAAGTTAAGCGAGAAGGGGGTTAGAGCAATCCTAGGATGGGTGACCCATTGGGAAGTTGCTCGTGAGTTCCCAAAAACAAAACCGTGCTACGGTGGTGGAACGGGCCGGGGAAGTGGTCCCGCCCCGGGCCGGGATGTGACAATCAGAGCCTAACCCTGGCCGTGGTGTGCCGACGAGGACGTCGGGCCCCTAAGGGGGGTGGATTGTGACATCCCACATTACCCAGGGGAGTGATCCTTAAATGTATATTCCCATCGCTACTTAGCACGAGGCCTTTTGGGAGCTCACTGGCTTCGGGTTCCGTAGGAACTTCGAAGTTAAGCGAGAAGGGGGTTAAAGCAATCCCATGATGGGTGACCCACTGGGAAGTTGCTCGTGAGTTCCCAAAAACAAAACCGTGAGGGAATGGTAAGCCCAAAGCGGACAATATCATGCTACGGTGGTGGAGCGGGCCCGGGAAGTGGTCCCGCCCCGGGCCGGGATGTGACACAAGGTACATAGGTAATCTAGCTAGGTAGATGCAATCGAATTTCCTTTTGCTGATGCTCTTGTTCGTAATTCGTGCAATGGTTCAAATGAATGAAACAACGAGCCGGAATTCGTTAATTTCACTAGGTATGTTTCTAAATGAATTCTTTTATTTTAGTTTATAGTTTTCCAGTAGTGTAATCAGAGCCATGATGCTCGTTTCTCACTTTACAATTCAATGTAAAGAGCTGGAACCATGATATCCACCATGGTTGAATAAACTTGGAAAATTCACATTTTGATTCATCACTTTTTTTGGATTTGTTTTTAGAAATAGGTTCTCATAAGTGTGAGAAAAATTCTCTCAAAATTTCGTGCAAGGATGTGCTATGGTTTTGAGTGAAATAAAAAAAAAAACCTTGGTTTCGTGATTTCTTGAAAATTTCGGTTTTTCATCCGCTTCGGGGGCAGAATTTATGGTACATGGAATTCATCTTTTTGAGATTTTTATTTTTTGCTTCGTATTTGTTGTCTGCCATGTGAGCTTCAAACCATATAAAACACCCATCGGATGAGTATTGAAGAAGATATGGCTTCGCAAACATACCTTTACAATTCTGCGAAATTCGGAATTTCCGCAAAAAATTTGGAGAAAATGATGAACAGTGATTGTTCATCACTATCGGCAGCAGCGGGAGTGTTTCTTTCTGGGCATATTATTTGGATTATTTTAATTCAAATAATTAAAAATGCAGTAGAAAATAATGCACAACATACAATATGGTATCTCAATTATATATCTTTAGGGCTTCGCTGTTTGGGTCTTATCCTACCGCCAAGCCCACTCACTTACCCACTTTGGATTTGTAACTTGGACCTTTTTTAATTAAATGAACCCAATGCCTATCTAATTTAAACCTTGTCCATAAACCCAAATAATTAATCAAATATAGTGAACAATTAATTATATCTAATCATCATCCATATAACGGTACTAGAACTTATTATATGTGTGTGACCTTTTAGGTTCTAACTAAAGCCGGCAATCAAATTAACTAATGATTTTTTTTAGTACATCGATATTTTTACACTAAGGGAAGGGAAAGTTCAGCTAACCCACACAACGGGCAACCTAATTTGGTATCGAATTTGTCATCCATGAGATTTGAACCTAAGATCTCTCACTTCCAAGTGAAGAGAAATACCACTAGATCGTAGTACTAAAATTCGAACCTAAAACCTCCCATTTTTGAGGTGTTTGTATGTAAACTCATCAGTCACACTCATGATAAAATGGTGTATGACCGTTATTCATAAAGCGTTGATGTGTAGCTTATCCGAGAAGTGGATGATTGTCCGAACCGGGCAATTTATGAAGTGAGCGTAAATCATTGCTAAACGTAGAGCAGTGAAGAAGTTCTTGATGTCATAAAACATCATTTTGGTTCTTATATCACCATAAGGTTGGCATAAGATCCTTCATGAAAAAATGATTGTTCAAGGTGCAAATAATTTCATGTTTACTCATGGTTGAAATATATTCTCAATAGAATGATGAAAATATATTTGTCTTTACCTTATATGGAATTGAAAGAAGGCACCTACTTGTGAAAACATAGGTGCTCCTTATAGAACTATTTTGGAGGTGTTTTGCATTAACTAGAGAGATTTTATATGAGTATGCCTGATGCGATAATTACTTGACACTCAAATTAAACCCTCGTTTGACAATTGTAGTAGAATGGATAAGTGAGGGATCGTTCTAGACCGGGGATTAGGAGGGCTTGCTAAAACCTTCTAAATTGACTTAAGAACGTAAAAACAATATAAAACACTAAACTAGACTCAAAGAATGCAAAACTAAAATTTAAAATATTAAGACAAACCAAAAGACTCAAAACTAATTTTGGACGAATTTAAGATTATGGCTTGATTCAAAATACTTTAAAACATAAACTAAACAGATTCTAAGCACTAAAGAACAAGAAAGTAAAGGGGGGGGGGGAAAAGTTTTGATTTGACAAAAATTGAAATAACAAAACAAGTTAATAAACTAAGCGGAATGTAAATATGAATTTGTGATGGAATGAATGGAATGAAGGCTAGCTAAGGGGTTCTTCTCCACACATGTTATACTTGCATACAAGATTGATTCTCAGTTGGTTTTTCGATAAATTATGAAACTCAACACTCCGGATTAATTAGGTCCGCTTAAATTAACCGTCAAGTTTTCCTTAAGTTAATGAATTGGATGGGTTTGTGCAACGCAATTCACAACATTCTCCAAAAGTCCTTTACGTGAACAGCACAATAAAGATACAATCAAAGATCATTAAGTATTATGAAAACTATAAGTGTTGACGAGGCATTCGTTACTATGATGAGCATGAAACTCGTGCCAAGAATTCATTTAACGCGATCGTTTATAAGCAACCTCCACTACTTGTGAATATAAGTTCATAACGATTAGGTGAAAATCACTTATATTCTAGCGTCATATTTATGCATGAAAATTAAGCGCGCATTCTTAATAAACATTCATAAATAAGTTATCAATCAA